ACCTGAGTGTCTTTGCTTTTATGAATATTAACCTAAATGTCTTTGTTTTTATGAATATTAACCGAAATGTCTGTACATTTAGCTTAAATCAATGGATATTTACCTAAATGTCTGTACTTTTACCTAAATATCCATGCATTTAGCTTAAATCAATGGATATTTACCTAAGTGTCTGTACTTTTACCTAAATGCCCGTGCATTTAGCTTAAATCAATGGATATTTACCTAAATGTCTGTACTTTTACCTAAATGTCCGTGCATTTAGCTTAAATCAATGGATATTTACCTAAATGTCTGTACTTCTAACTAAATGTCCGTGCATTTAACTTAAATCAATGGATATTTACCTAAATGTATGAAATTTTGTGAATTTTAGGCAAATTTAGCTTAAATTCATTGCAGTTGTTGCACATCTTTTGATATTATTTGAATCTGCTAGTTATAACTTCAATTTTGACTCAAATGGCACCCCATAGAGATTTGCTTCAGAGGTAGAAAATTCCATCTAACAAAAAACTAAGTGAGTTACAGTTGCTCAAAGTTTGTGATTTAGCCTCTTTGAAAATTTTTCAGGTGGCACTAGAGAAAGCAAGAGCAACCAAACTCTCTCAGTCTCTTTTAAATATCTAGGAAAATTTTTGTGACAGTTCTTTCTTTGAATAGAGCTTCAGATGCTAAAATAAATTTCAGCTTTTCTCCTACCCATGTGCCATGATTTAGCTAGCTGTTGACCACACCCATAGCTTATTTTAATTATCATCATTTTTATAGCAGTCAATAATAATTTTTCTTTCAAAAATTGCTAGTGGTGGGCGATACTGGCCAAAATGGATTCGATACGATACCGATCGATATCAGCTCATATCGGGAGTATCGATACAGTTTTGATACGATATTTAGACCACACCTATGGAGTCACACCCCTTATTATTGACTGTTTTCATCGATGTTTTCATGCACGTGTATCCACGTGTGTGTATTTACGTCATTAACTTATTAAAATTTTTATTATTAATATTATTTAACCATAATAAATGGGCGTGGTCAATGTATCGAACCCGATTCCTTCAAAATTTCGATACCGATACGAATCGATACCGTAAAATATCGTTTGTATCGATAAAATATCGATATATCGCCCACCACTAAAAATTGCTTAAAATATCACAGTACAAGTAAGACATATCACTCAGGTGAATTTCAGCGGATGAGTCTATTGCACCATAGTGCTTCATTTAAAAAGTAGTTAAAGGAAAAGTCATCACAGTCAACACTCTTTTAAAATGTCTCTTTTGACAATAATTTTATTTAAAACCAGACTGAAGCCATTAGTTGATGTGCCACATCAAGGCCTAATTTTGACCCAAGACTAAGACCTTTCCTATTATTGAGGATTTAAAAAGTGAAAACAGTGTCCTTAAACTGCCCAGTAGGACAAAACTAGGCCTCAATAGTGACATTGACTATTTTAAGAAGTTTCTAAGTATTAATAACCTACCACTTATACCTTAGATGACTCTTTTAATATATATTTGCTTCAGCCTAGCAGTAAAATGTCTAAAAGGAATTCTAATGGCAGCCATTACCTTGGCCATAACTATTAATTAGCATAACAATTTGAAATGAGCATAGGAACGCTAGTCATGACATCATCCATATGAATTTGTGTATAAAGTACATCCTGTTTCATATCAACCTGTGTTTGTAGTATTTCTGCTGGCATCTTATAGACGCATCATCATCTTAACTTGTTGTAGCAAATGATGATTAGTGTCCTTCTTTCTGTTTAATGACAAACTGACTTAGAGCAGGTTTGTTCTTCTCCTTGTCAGCCATCTCTTGACTCAGTATCATGTGGTAGATAGCACTTAACTGTGCATGTGCAGTATGGGAAGTCTGGATTAGGTAGAGAATAAATTTGCTATAATACCTGCCAGGATACATCACAACCTCACTGGAATGTTATAACACATACATTGTACATGTACATGTACTTACCAGTACTTTTTAGCTAATGATATCATTGATACTACGAACATGATGATACTAGCTTTGCTAATGTGAAACTGTTAGCAGTACATGTACATGTACACTTCTGAGAACTGTGTCTCTCTGTATTGTTGTTTAGTTATAATCTACAAGCTACTGTTTATTGATGTTTTTGACACAAATAATTATCATACTAATAAATCATAATAACAATAACAACTAAATGTATAAAGAGATAAAGCATTATCAAGTATAACTGGAGCAACACACAAAAAAACCTAATACATAAGGTCAAGGTGAATATGAGAGAAGCAAATGGGATAGATCCTGTTCTACTTGACATATAACTCCAGTATATCAAGTGGAGTATCTTCATCAGTAGATGTATATAGGACACAGGACCTTACTTCAATGTAGTTAGTGTTACTAACTCCATTCAGTGTTTTATTAAACCAAGGCAGGTTAGGACTATTAGTACAACAAGGGCCCTCTAATCCAAGACACTGTTGACCATCCCACAATGGATCATTAGGATAAAGTAAACTAGTAAATCCCTCATTAAGTGGTAATCCTGATTCACAATAGTAATCATTGCCAACATAAGATGGTGGGAGGTTATGAGTGAAACCAGTGTTACATGGACAGTCATAATTTTGTAAGTTGTTTTGATGAATACCACCAGCGTATGTCCATATATGCTGGCGAGGGTTTCCACGTGTAATAGAGTAACCACAGACATAATAGCTATCAAGACCAACTGACAAAGATCCTTGAAATCCATCTGGTGAGTGATATTGATATCCTCTAATCTGCCCACATACTTTAGAATAATTCAAACCATTAGTAGAGAAGAATACTGATAGGCATCCTGGATTTGGGAGATTGTTTCCACATAAACTGTGATCAATGTTATAATAGTCTTTAGTGACAAATCCATCAGGACATGTAGCTCCAGGTTCAGTCATGTTGATGTAAGCTATCCTTGTCCATCCTCCTTCTCCACAGTCTGTGGTGTCCATTTTACAATAAACTGTATATGTAGTGCCATTTGGATACACAATAGTGTAATCTTCAGATACTGCTTTTGGATTGGCTTCAAGAATCTCCTGGCATGACATTGCTACAAAAATAACATAAATAATTATAATAGTAGCATTCAGTTTACCTGGACAGGACTTTGGTCGTACTTTAGGACAGAGAATATATCTATTAATACCAGTGTCACTGTTAGTAACAGACTGTCCTAAGTTACTAATATTACAGCATACTCTTAGATACAGTCCTAGTCCACCATGTTGATATGATCCAGCATTAGTACAGTCAGTAGACATACAATAAGATCCTTCTCCTTTATCAATGATGATACAAGCCAGTATTAGGAACAGCATTGGAACAAGCTGCTTCATTTCTTTGTTCATGCTATTCCTCTGATAATTGGTACTATATATCCTACTATGCCTGTTTTGATGTTTGATATACTCTCTCCTTGTGGTTAACAGTTTACATAGCACTGTACTCAACAATGAATTAGTTATCAGCACTTACTGCCTCTAGCCAAGTTCTCTGGCATCGGATATGAAACAGGATGTACACCACCAAGAGTTGGTGAACGGACCAGGCCTGATGTCAGCTTAAATCAGTCCTGATATCAGAGATGGACCGTGGTTTTGGGCAATCAGTCCTGATACAATCATGGAGTCAGCCATGGTACAGGGCCTACAGGCATGATAAGCATCTCTACTGGATCAGGTCAGACTGACGTTCCTGATTCAGCAATGATAGCCATCAGGGCTGCACCAGTACCGATATCTTTGGGCAACCGTCTTGTATCAGACATGGTAAATCTTGGGCATGTACACATGTAGCTATCCTCATTTCACCTGATATGATTCATACTTTATAGTGACGTTTACAACACGTGGGCTCACGTGCTTAATACTAGAAATAATATACAGTTTTAATACAGTTTTAATTCTTAAAAAACTTTTAAACTGCAGAAAAGTTCTTCCAACTTCAATATGAACTGGTTCTTTCTGTTTTGGCTCCTATTTTTTCTTGCTGTACTTTGTAACAGGCATGTTTACACAACACCATGGGAAAAATTGCTAAAAGAAAAATCAATAAAAAATATTATGCATTTTTTGTACATGCTGAAAACATTTCTATAGCTTTGAGTGTATGAAGAAGACCTAGCATATAGAGATAATTTACCTCAGCAAGTAATTGGACTCGCCACGCTTGCGTAGGCGGGTACTAAGCAGTTGGGTTGTCATTCTGTCCACACAGTTTAATTGATTTGTAAAAAGTATATCTTTTTGTCTGAGCACTCTAGAGCTATATTTCTTCTTCTAGCAACAGATAGAGTTGCTTTCTTTCATTTAGTTATGCTCTTGTAGCATCCCGTGGCACCAAAAGCTGTGAACTGCTAAACCAGGGGACCTCTCTCCAAGTGAGAGCTCGTGTTTCACTCTACAGGTCCGAGATTTGCTTCAGAGGTAGAAAATTCCATCTAACAAAAAACTAAGTGAGTTACAGTTGCTCAAAGTTTGTGATTTAGCCTCTTTGAAAATTTTTCAGGTGGCACTGGGGAAAGCAAGAGCAACCAAACTCTCTCAGTCTCTTTTAAATATCTAGGAAAATTTTTGTGCCAGTTCTTTCTTTGAATAGAGCTTCAGATGCTAAAATAAATTTCAGCTTTTCTCCTACCCATGTGCCATGATTTAGCTAGCTTTTGACCACACCCATAGCTTATTTTAATTATCATCATTTTTATAGCAGTCAATAATAATTTTTCTTTCAAAAATTGCTTAAAATATCACAGTACAAGTAACACATATCACTCAGGTGAATTCCAGCGGATGAGTCCATTGCACCATAGTGCTTCATTTAAAAAGTAGTTAAAGGATAAGTCATCACAGTCAACACTCTTTTAAAATGTCTCTTTTGACAATAATTTTATTTAAAACCAGACTGAGACCATTAGTCGATGTGCCACATCAAGGCCTAATTGTGACCCAAAACTAAGACCTTTCCTATTATTGAGGGTTTAAAAAAGTGAAAACAGTGTCCTTAAACTGCCCAGTAGGACAAAACTAGGCCTCAATAGTGACATTGACTATTTTAAGAAGTTTCTAAGTATTAATAACCTACCACTTATACCTTAGATGACTCTTTTAATATATATTTGCTTCAGCCTAGCAGTAAAATGTCTAAAAGGAATTCTAATGGCAGCCATTACCTTGGCCATAACTATTAATTAGCATAACAATTTGAAATGAGCATAGGAACGCTAGTCATGACATCATCCATATGAATTTGTGTATAAAGTACATCCTGTTTCATATCAACCTGTGTTTGTAGTATTTCTGCTGGCATCTTATAGACGCATCATCATCTTAACTTGTTGTAGCAAATGATGATTAGTGTCCTTCTTTCTGTTTAATGACAAACTGACTTAGAGCAGGTTTGTTCTTCTCCTTGTCAGCCATCTCTTGCCTCAGTATCATGTGGTAGATAGCACTTGTGCATGTGCAGTATGGGAAGTCTGGATTAGGCAAAATATAAATTTGTTATAATACCATGCTTGGGATACATCACAACCCCACTGGAATGTTATAACACATATATTTACAAGGAATGGAGTAGCTAATGATATCACAGATACTACAAACATGATGATACTAGCTTTGCTAATTTAAAACTGTTAGCAGTCATATATATTTACATGTACTTTTAAGAACTGTGTCTATCTGTCTTGTTGTTTAGTTATAAATTATAATGTATTTACAAGCTACTGTTTATTGATGTTTTATTATACTAATAAAGGAATGGCAACAAATCATAATAACAATAACAACTAAATGTATAAAGAGATAAAGCATTATCATAGTATAACTGGAGCAACACACAAAAAACCTAATACATAAGGTCAAGGTGAATATGAGAGAAGCAAATGGGATAGATCCTGTTCTACTTGACATATAACTCCAGTATATCAAGTGGAGTATCTTCATTAGCAGATCTATATAGGACACAGGACCTTACTTCAATGTAGTTAGTGTTACTAACTCCATTCAGTGCTTTATTAAACCAAGGAAAGTTAGGATTAGTACAACAAGGGCCCTCTAATCCAAGACACTGTTGACCATCCCACAATGGATCATTAGCATAAAGCAAATTAGTAAATCCCTCA